TCTTTCTCTTTATTTATTCCTTCCCTTTCTAGCTTGTACTTATTTGAACAATGCCTGAAACTTGGTTTGACAAGCACTTCCTGTGCCTCTTTAAGAAGAATCGCTTTGTGCATTCCCCAATTGTAAGTCGCTTTGGATATAAGCGTCTGCAAAATGACTAAATGTAAATGTAGTTCACATTAAATTACAAATATAAATAATAATGCAAATACTATAATACAATGCTTTTAAAAAATTAAATAAAATTCATATTATACATTGTTATTATAAATTATATCTACTCTGTTATTTACATTTTTTTTTATATTTGTATATTTAATTAATTGCATATTTTTTAAACTAACTTTTTGAAAATGTAATAATGTCAAAATATGCATTGTTTTCTTTATGCAAATTCAAATAAATAAATAAATATGCCACAGGGGACAATAATTTTGTGCATGACAGACTTCCAGGTTGGAAAGTTTGTCAAGCTTTTTCTGAAATCAGTCCATGTTTGGACTTCCAGTAATAGACCATGAAATGGGAAAATTAACCAAATATGTCAATTTTCATCGATTTATTTAATTTTTTATTCATCTTTTCTGATAGCGCCATCCACCAGACGACACTCAATATATTATATATATATATATATATATATATATTTATTATTATTATTTTTTTTTTAGATGAACACATCCCATTATGTGACACTATACTGAGCTGAACGTGTAAAGTCAGAGCAGCCATCTGTGTTAGAAGCTCACATCTGATACCTGAAGGAGATATTCTACAGAGCTCAGTTTCTCAAAAGCACCGTGCTGCACTGACATCACACCCTCTGTACTACAGACCTGTTATCCAATGGTGTGAACTCCTCCACATTTCCTGCCAGTATGAGCCATCTGCACATGCAACACATCACACTCGGAGTAAATGAAGTTGTTTTTAAACTTATACTGGAGAAGATCACTGACAGGGTTTTGAGGGCACGATGTAACAGCACTGATGCAGATGGAGCAAATTTCCACAAAAATGCAGTTGCCTATTTAGACTGATATCATATCATCTTCTTTCCAACGTACAGGAGGGATAACTGAATTAATTAACTGGAAAGATTAAATATGTTAATTTTATACAAATCTTTGTTTATTCCATGCTTCTATAACATCTATTGTTCAGGTTCATTAAGTTGAGTTTGTGTGCTTTTGCTTTTACAACGGCAAACTTGAACGAAAACAATGTGACTGGTATGGAAAAATGTAAGTCATATCCAGAACTTGGCAGCTATAAAATGCAAAATGCAAACATCTTGCATTTAGAAAGTCATTGGTCAAAGACACCCACTAACACCTGCAGTGGAAACCCATCAAAACCCAAAGCAGCCCAGTTCATTCACATTCCTGCAAACTACACAATGAAGAAGCAATGCTGTAACTTACATACTCTGAAAACCCTCAAAAAGTTGTTCAAGTCAGTCTCTATCTATCTTAAAGAGAAAGTTCACCCAAAAATTTTCATTCTGGGCGCCATGTTGTTCCAAACCTGTATGACTTTGTTTCTTCTGTGGAACACAAGGAATTTGAAGGAATTCTCAATGTTGATGCAGCAAATTTCCATGAAATTAATAAAATGATCAGGTCCCTTCAAGCGTTTTTTTTTTCTGTTGTTGTTGTTGTTTTTGCATGTGAATTTTAAGACAGTTAAGTAATTTACAATGTTACAGATGCTTTCAACTTCAAATAAATGCAATTTTGAAATTTCTATTATTATACGAAAGATTATAAGAAATGTTTCTTGAGCAGCAATCAGCATATTAGAATGA